AAATTTCATTGACCCGGCCCACACCATCGTAATTCATATAGCTACCGGCATTCAAACTTCCGCGTTTGTTAAAGAAAAAATAATTATAAAAAAAACTTAGTGAAAATAGGTTAACAGCTGCTTAACTCAGACTTGACAGATATTTTACAATATTTTGTTCTACTGTAATCAGTACGAAGTTGGACATGTTTGTTTATTACATATAAATACAAGAGTGGGCATTAAGTGTTCGTTATTAATTTATCTGCGTTAGCTGAACACTTAGACGGATATAATTTAATTTCAAGATTTATTAGAAGACTCGTTTACTGCCTTTTGATTTTTCCTGGATGTCAATCGGTGTATTACAGTCTAGATTGTTATTTCATTGGGCGAATTCTTTTACATTATCTGGTGAAAATAGTTCGAAGTTCAAGTCCACGTAACAATAACAAATTAGGTTATTTCTTCCTTAACGTTTCTACAAATTTATTTCACTTGAATATTGTTGCAATTTGTAGGCCTAAGGAAATACCAGGCTAATTGTACTATGAGTAACGTAAAAAAAAAACACAAAAAACTTACTTGTACAATTTCACGGTTGTTCGATCAACTAGCTGAATATATGAAATAACTAAAACGGGTCCAAATATTTCACTGAAACTAAACTGGCTGAATCAACACTGATTCATTATTCATCACTAATTGAGAGCAAAAAATTGATTCAATGCTTCACCGATTTTCGTATTTTTAACTTACTCCCATCTCTCGACAGCCCTCGAAGCTATTAGATTATTGACACCAAATTTAGAAGATTCTAGGCCTACTTTTGTAAACTTTTATATTTAGACGTCATGTGCACGCTAACTAACGGCAAAATTACAATATTAGAAATAGAGCTCATAACAATATTTTGTGTATGAGGTCGTCTAGAAATTAATGTCGCTTTTTTTAGATGAAAGAACCCAAATAACTTGTATATCAAAACAAAACATTTATTAAATGAAATAGTCTCTATTCTTATCGATGATGCTTTTCATCTTAGAATCAGGTTGTTAATGCCCC